TATTACAAGATTAAAGTCATAACATTATGAGAATAAAGTCATAATATTACAAGATTAAAGTCATAATATTCTAAAATTAAAGTCGTAATAGGCTACTATACCCTTCATGAAAAAGCATGCCATTACACTGCATTAAAATGAGGAATGTTGAACTTGTCAAGTTTTCTTTAGTACTGCTTAAAGCAAATAGTTAATCTTTTAGCACATTAGCATCGAATTATCTGTAGCAGGACTTGGAAATTTTGCAAACAACTATAAACTGAAGCCGTATTGACAGATTTAGTCGTCACGTAGCTTCATAAACACAGAGACATGTGGCTGTACACAGACAGGAAATGAGGAATGGAAAATGGACACGTCATATAAGAKTGACTTTTTTTCTCGTAATATTACGACTTTATTCTCATAAAATTATGACTTTATTCTCATAATATGACTTTATTTTCGTAATTATAATAAAAAAATTCTCGTTGTGTGGCCCTAATACTYCGTCGTAATAAAGAGCAGTRGATGACGTAAATCCCTTCAATTTGCATTTTACCTGCAAAGTCATAAACTAGCTTAAATTTAAGATTCCCTCTCACTACCTTTCATCACGGCTCGAGAGCGCAGACTCTTCCATCCATTCTGCAGATCTTGAAGAAGCTACTTGAGGATTTGGTCCTCGTTTTAAACATGTTTTCGAGCCAGTGTTCATTAAAACGACTACCGCCTGGCATGCTGTTTTCTACCGCTCACCGAGACACCGGAGACGTGCGAGACCAGCGGAACGCAGCTTAAAGTAGCTTCAAAGCTACTCCAGAGCTCACACGCCAAATCGAGGATTTTAATCCAACTGTTAAAATGTGTTTTATTATAAAACTGTGCTGTTAGAGTATCAAGCACTTTCCAAACCTTCAAGTATTTTCAARGACTTCAAGCCCTTGTACAAACCGTGTAGAAAACACATTTAAACAATAAGATGAACTTTACATCACTTTAAATCTTTGCTTTTCCCACCATGCCCAGGTGGGGTTTACCTTATAATCTGGCGGGTTCAGGTCGGGCGTCTTGGCGGTGGCATCGAGATCCGTCACGCCTCGGTTCAGGTTCAGGTCCTCGGCCGGCGGCGTCTGAACGGCCTCTTCGGCATCGATGTCCGTCTCCTCTGCGACGACGCTCACGGTGGTCTCGGCACCTGTTGGCTCTCGGGCTGGGCCGAGCAGAGTGCACACACACACAGGTGGATAAGCACGCACGCCTGCATACACACATGGAGGTATGAGCATGTGCACACACACACACACACACATGGGTGGACACACACATGAGGGAGAGTAAGAAACAAGAGCTGAACTGAAATGTAAAACCCTTTATTTKACTTTATTTCACTTAAATAATGACGTTGGTTGTTTCATTCTGCACGATCCTCCACTGTTGCCTTCCTCCCCCTGTTCAGGCTCCGCCCCCTCCTCYAATTATCAATCCTGTCCTCCTCTACTTAAAGCCGACAGCTTGACAAGGGGCCTCAGCTCTTCCTACCTTCCTCCAAAAATCACCTCACACTTGATAACCTTTTTCTCAATTACCGCTCCTCTTCCTCCCCTGCTATCAGCGCCGTGCTGTCCTGCCTGTCCACGCTGTCTGAGGCTCACATGATTGCCTCGGCTCGTCGGATGTTACCTGCTCGACTTCGCCTCTTCTCAGCCGATACTTCTCAGAGCGGCTGATTACACAGGCAGGAGCAATAACAAAACTGTGTCTGTGTGGAGGAAATGCTTCACAAATGTAAGGCCTGGCGTTGCTTGAAAAAAACTCAGGTCCGAGTTGTAGACTGAGATCAGTTTTTAACTGAGAAATTACAAAGTTGCAGCCATTTTGAGAAGAAGATCTCTGCAGTCACTGAGTGGGAGGTTCTTGGTGACATGATTGGTCTGTGTGACATTTGTAGGAGGAGTTTGTTAAAGATGTGACTGGTCAGGTTGACTGCCTGGGTGGGGTTTAAAGAAGCCATAATGATATGACAGGTTGAAAACTGGGCAGATGGGGGACATGTAAATCAGTTGAAACAGCTGGAAAACTTTAAAAATTAATTTTAATCATAACTCAAGACAGGAAGTTTTAGCACTAAATTTAAAGTTAATAAATCCCATTTACATGTTCACAATATTTTAATGTTACCATTAATTAGGGGTCCAAGCCCGAGGG